GAGAAATACACAAAGCTAGCCAGAAATATGAGTATGCTTAGGTTTTGTTGATATAAAAATAATAGTAGCCCACTAAATATGTAAGTGTACTTGTCAATCAGGTAATAACATTCTAAAGAAGTGTGTTGATCCCATGAGAAAGTGCTCTACTTAATTATAATTAAATAATTGTTGTCTAATATAAATGCACGAGATATCCCACTAAATAAAAATGACTATTTTGGAGCTTATTCCACTTAATAAAGACATGAAACAAGATTGAATAATAATATAAATAAAGTGCTTTGGTCTAATGAATAAAAGATAATATTGGTTTCCTAATGAGACTCTTAATTTTTAGATGTGGATTAGAACACATGCATCCCTAGATCTCTGTCGAGTTTATAGGGATAAAAAGGGAGGTTTATGGCCTTATGACTATTATAATTTCTTCATAGAACCTAAAGGTTTAACATCCTTTCTAGTTATTTCAATATTCATTTCAATAGTCTTTTTTGTTCCAATATTTCTCCATCAAAGCAATATATCACACTGTATATTACCTACACTATTGACATCATTTCTAAGTGAGGTCAATTTTCCTACAGAAATATTCAATATTCCCGCACATCAATCATTAAACCACACATCAGATCCTGAATCAAACTTTTCACTATGCTTGGGTATGGTATCATGATCATTTACTCTTGAAATCCATCACTTAAAAATTTCCTTTAATTGTCATTTGATCCATCACCTGATAATCACTAAATGATTGTCAATTACGTGATCATTTCAAAATCAATCTCCCCTCATTCATTTCCTTCCATTGACCAATTAAAATTTCAAAGTAAAACAAATCCTCCAAATTTTAACAACAACGATTGCCTGCTGATCACCTATTAAGGAATGGATAGTTATCACTAACTAACAATAATATGAATATATCAAATCCTTAAATCTTTCAAATCATTGAAAAAATATAATATCAATAAAATACATTAAATAAACAAATTAAAAGTTAAAAACTGTAAATTCAATGCTCAAAACCAAACTCAAAACCCTTAGATCCATAACCTGATTTGGAGAAATTTCAAACACATTAAAACCAAACCGAATGGCCTTGAATTAATGTTTAGTCAATTGCATATTTATTAAGCATGTACCTATGATCATCCACCTCAACTTGAAGGCATTCCAAGATCCTTAACCTTAGAACACAATTCATTTCCATAGGCTATAAAACCTTCAAATATTTATAGCCAATGCAACTGAGCATATCATATTATGGGATTTTATTTTTGAAGCTTCTCCAAACACATTGAACATCATCATTAACCTAAATATGATGAATGAAATCAACATTGAACCTTTGGTTGATCTTGGTTAACCATGGTTGAATATAATGTCACCAAAACCTTAAGACCTTACAAATGGATTTTCTCTTAAATCTCAACTTAGCTCAATAAAACTAATCCTTGAAACCTATTCTAATATGTTCAAACCATCATTTGACACACATTAAACCAAAACCCAAGTTATAATCAATCTTGGTTGACTAATTCAACTTAGGTTGACCATATGGATCCATTGAACCAAAAAGTCACACACACACACACACACATGTATATATATATATATAAGCCTCATCGTTGCATGGAACCCCTTCTAGTATATTAAGAATATCATTTAGAAGGCATCAAACAAAATCCCAAGCCATAGGTCAAGCTATTTGACCAAGTCAACCTAGGTTGACCAAATATATGCTTGAGGTTTAACATGCATTTCATATGAAAACGCTTAGCCAATCTTTGAAACCACCTCCATTGAACTCAAAACATGATTTGGAATGCAATAAACCCAACGCTAACCCTTGAGTTAATTTGGTTGACCAAGTCAACAAAGGTTGATCAAGCATGCATACATGAAAATCTATTGCAAATTCTTTAACAAGGCATAACCAAACCCATTTAAACATATAAGATTATCCTAATGATCCCTAAGAACTAACCTAGTTTACCCTTGCCTTGAGCCCAGTTGGGTTAGCCACATTACTTAACCCAAGTGGTCAAAATGACCATACATTAAATAAAATCAAAGTATCAACCAAACTAACATAAATAAGTATTGTCATTACATTCCCTCCACTACATCTGCCTTGGTCATCCAAACCCTTGGACTGACTTAAGTAATCTCATTGGACTAACACAAAGTGACCTAAACTAGCCATACTAAATCACACTTCATAACCAAAACTATCGAAGCCCAATTGGCAGTTGAATTAAGCTTAGGAATATTCTAGAGGCTTTGCCACCTCATGTGGTGGTTGGAATTTATTGCATTCTTGAAAATCGTCGACATGTGATTTCAGTCTGGGTGGGATCTTCAAACCCAGATGAACCCAGGTCCTCAAAGCTTCAAGGGTCATTCCTTGAGCTCCATGTGACCTCAATGATCCATCCTAGTGGCTTGATATTACTTGAACATATCCTAAATCCAAGCCAAATGCATTCTGAAACTCTAAAAATTGCTTGATTTTCTTTGAGGAAGGGTGAGTGATCTTATTTCAAAAATATTTCTGAGTTCCATAGTTTCCTGTCCCTAGCTTCCCAACCTTCTATGTGAGGTTTAATAGTAACTTTGAGGGAGCTCTAGCATGCTTTCCACCATGAAAGTGTAGCTTATGATCCACCCTTCCTTTGGCCAAGGGCTTCTTGAGAAGAAAAGTTCTCTAAACTCAGTCAATCAAGACTAAAGCTAGGCTAATGTATTTTGAGCAATTCTTCAGATAATCTTCCATTTTTAATCTTCATCTTAGGGTATTCAAGGAAAGTGTGAAAGAAATGCTCATTCCAAATGGATCTAACCGCTGGATTGAATATTTCTTGTGCACTAATCCTCTCTAAGATGTTTCAATAAATTCACTCTAGACCATATATAGGATCTTACCAAAATAGGTTTATGGTTAGAATTTCAAATGGGAGGTAGGAGATGAAATTAAAACCATTGATTTTAAACAACACCTCTTATTTCATCTTATAATCCTTCGTACTACCAACCTGCTGTTTTAACCCTTTGAATCAAAATTATTTGATTCTTAATATGATGTCTTATATTAATCCTATATTATTCTTTTTAATGCTCTAATGTTTGCTTACCCAAACAAATAATGCCCCATGGAAAAGAGTAGCTGACTATGTATTTAGGTCATTTAATTTTATAAAAAATTAGTAAAGTTAAAATTAATTTCTCTTCATCTACTTACCAAAATCACATGCTCTTAGGCTCTATGGATTCAATGTGAGGAGTCCTATAAAATCCTTATGGTTTAAAACTGTGAGTCTTAATTCATTAAGCAGAAATTTAGAAATACCATTTGGGTATTTTTTAATTATGAATTAAAATTAATTCACCAAGGGGAAAATTAAGGTGAATGATTCTTGAAGATGTCTTGCACATGCTAAAAAAATTAGCTCAATTTGAATCCTTAAAGAGATTCAAATGATTTTTGCAAGTGTATAGGTCAATATTTAATCTATATATTAGGAAATTCATAAAAAAAAAAGTCCATAGATAATTAGGTATTTAATTTTTGTGTTATTGTTGGTCTTTGTTAAAGGGTTAGAAGACAATTGATTGCACCCCTATCCAATATATAGATTGCCCAAAATAAAATCCCCATGGTATATATTTATTTTCCTTAGGGAATATATTTTAAAACTTTAGGGAGACTTTGATGGGCTCAAATTCAATGGGTAGGAAGCATAAGCATTCATGTACTTATATTTTGAATTTCATTGTATTTGAAAGCCATTTGGTTTGTGATTTAGCAAACTTAAAATTACTCTTCATAAAAAAAATAATAAATAAAAACAAAAAAAAATAATAAACACAAAAGCATTGGGTTCATACTTAAATCTAATATTTAAGAAAAATATTAAAAAACCAGATATTAATGTTAATTAAAAAGTCGGCTATTTGTTCATACTCAATTCATATAAATTAGCTTAAGTTGAAAAATCATAATTAACTTCAAAAAAAGTCCAAATTGAATGAACTCAATAGAATTGGATTCATAATTAAATCTAGTTTTTATGAAAAAATATAAAAACATTATAAATTAAAAAAATTTAAAAAGTTAATAATTTGGTCTAACTTAATATAAACAAATGCACTGCACATGAAAAATTCATAATTAATTATAGAAAAATTGAATTGACACTAACTCAAATACATTATTATTTGGGTTTAATATTTATAAAAAAAACATAAAATTTTAAGAAATTAATGTAAATTAAATGTTAACAAATGGGTCAAATAATAAATATATTAAAGCATTCAATAAAATATGAAAGCTCAATAAAATATCAAAATAAGATAAATAATAATAAAATAAGTTACCAACACTCTGTCAATGATGTTTTTAGGCTAGACTATCTCGGATTGTGAGGTTGCATGTCCTAAGGAGGCCTTTATCATCGTGCTCATTGTGACAACACTTTCAATGAGTTTGATAAAATGTGACCATTAATTTGTAGACTTCATAAATTTGTTATTAGTAAATTAAATTATTTAACAAAATCATTAATACAATACTTAAATATTACAGCTTTTATATATTTATGCTTGAATCCTTTATCACCTAGAACACTAGACATCACAATCATTATCACCACAACAATAATATCCTCTTCAATTGAATATTCACTATCGTGGATTAAACATACAATTTGCTAGACTAGCTTATTAAAAAAAATATTCATCATGTATGCATCTTCGGGCCTTCAGGAGGTGCTCCTATCCATTAATGGCTAATTATGGAGCAATTATTACATCCGGTCACCGAACGCGTTCATAGACCAATATCCGCACGCCACATCACCTAAAACTCGGTATTGAGCACTCGGTATTACTCGGTATACATCCAGATACGTTCAGATTTAACTGGACATAATAATTTCTCCTAATTATTGGGGGAATGTGGATAAAACATTAATTTCAAATATGTTGGATACACGTCAGAGCAAAAAATTCAATTATTCAATTAAAATACGATAGTGCTATCAGCATGTTGGTCTACTGTAGACATATCTAAAAATTTAAGCTTCATTTGGGACGACTTTCTTACTGCTTAATAAAGCAGTTTTCTAGTATAAAAATTAAAATTTTTGTACTAAAAAACTACTTTAAAAAGCAGAAAAAAGCTATCCCAAACGAAGTCTTAAACTACTAAAGCAACGAAGTTGAAGATAAAATGTCAACTACATCAAAGATTAAAAATTATCAAACATATCTACACCAAGAAGAAAAACGAAAAAACAGGCCACTTCTATTACCAGCATCATATACCACCTTGAGAAAGTCAACTACTGCTTTCCTTCGAAGATCCAAGAACAAATTCTGCATAAAGATTTTTCACAGCAATCATGACCGTCAACAACAAAGGTCCCATGATTGCTCCCTGCGTAGTATAAGAAAACGTATAAGAAAAAGTTGATTACCAGTTTCAGTCAGAGCAGAAAAGAGAGCTTCAAGGGAGGCAGCATCAAATTTTCGATAGAAGTGTGCAATACTTTGATTAATTGAAGAAATCTGTTGCTATGTTAGGCATTTGAAGTTGTATTAAGCAATGAATTTATCAGAAATCATTACGGACGCATTTGAAGCAACCGACGCATTTGAAGCAGTGTAGTAGGACTAAGGCTTCGTTTGAGATGGCTTTTTTATAATTTCTTAAAATAACTTTTTAGTATAAAAATTAAAATTTTTGTACTAAAAAGTTGCTTTAAGAAGCAGTAAGAAAGACGTCCCAAACGAAACCTAAATAAAACAGGAATAATTAATCCCCGTACCTCCAAGGCAAAAAAAAAGTACTTTTTAAAAAGAAAAAATCGGTTGTCCTGTGAACAATTGATGAAATGTTCAGCATGCTATGTCAATTTATAGATAAGGGGGTTCATGGCATTACTTGAAATCTCAATAATGATACAATTTGTGGGCTGCAAGAAAAGTAAAACACAGGACAAAAATTGGATCGGGATATTCTGGTCCAATTCCCATCACTGAGCTCCAAAAATCAACATCTTATGAATAAGTTCTCATGTTGTGTGAAAATGTACGACACTGTATATCCAACTATCATGGAATCGAACCAAGTAAAGTTGACCCGAATCAATGTTCTGAGCAAGAACCAAGCCATGAGGATGAATCACATTATACTTGCCGGCTATATTGCACCGATACACCTATTTATGAAGGCATGCTATATTTGATACACCGATGCACGGATACGGCACCGATACGTGTGGATACGGCAAGGTCGTATCCAATTAAAATGCTATTTAATTTCAAAAGGACACGCGCGTATCCCATACACGTGTCCGTTGAAAAACAAAAAAAAAAATCGAAAAAAAGATGTTGTATTTACTTCCACGGCTGTGAGCAAGGTTGTCTCATTTCCGAGATGGATTTGAGTCTCTTGATGATATGAGAATATTAGAAATTGCTAATCTTTCACTTGATGAGCCTGAATTAGAAGCTATGATATTTATTGAAGATGATAAAGAAGTTCAAAGACAAACCACTGAAGAAGCTAATCATATCATTCCTTCTATTGAATAGTTGAAACTTCATGTGCTAGACAATTTATGTTTATGCTTTTGTTGTTGTACTAGACATGACATTTAATGCTTACTTTTATTTTGATATTATAATCTACAAGGATATAAATGATGTTGCTTTCTTTTTTTTTTTTGTCATTTCAAATATTATGCTTTAATTGCTTTCTTAAATTCTATGTATGATTTATAAATTATAATGTTGTGTCCGCACCATACTAGTATCCTGTATTTTTTAGAATTGACGTGTCCTGTATCCGTATTGTGTCGTATCCGTGTCACCGTATCCATATCGGTGCAACTTAGCTTGCCAGATGTATATTGAACTCACTAGATACTATCCATAACTGCCAGTATTATGATAAACTTGTTGCAGTCACAAAAAATCGGCTCAAAAGACGAGTAAATTAAATTGTTTCCAAACTTATCTGAGATTACTTGCTCAAGGTCGCATAAAACATTTTAGAATGACTTGATTGAGAACAAAAGGTAATAGCTAGCTTTTGCTCAAGTCGGTGATCAACTCACCAAAAGTGTTGGCCTCAACTAAAAATTCATATTTTCTGAGATTTTTTTGAAACAAGTCTTGATTTGCATAGCCTAAATGTATCATTTCTTGTACCATCAAAATTATATCCTTAAGCTATAAATAGAGGGCTAAGGGGCAAATCTGACACACCTCCACATTGGCATTCAAGTCTTATACTTCCCTTAATCTAATAAAGCTTATAAACTTCCAATCCTATATTCACTTTCTCCCTTTACATTTCATTATGTTTGCCTTGTTATTCTTATCTGTAAGATTTTGGAGTTATCCACGTACAAACTTTGAACCAACATCCTCAGAAGCAAAGAACTAACAAAATAAGGACAACTTAGTAAACGTAAAAAACCAAAAAATTTGCACAGCAAAACAAATAACTTATATGGAAGAAAGAAGTACCATGATGATTTCATAAGTATTGAAGCAAATTCGTAAGCCACTCAACGATAGAAATTCCAAAGGGATCCTCAAACTCGGTTATATGAAGGCAACGTCACAGTTTGAGAGAATTAACCTCAACTCTAGCAATAGACGAGACCTGTTATCCAATAGCAATGAAGAATCTACTCCGCCTCGGCAAGTTAAAAAGTGAAAATCTCCACCAACAAAGGAATTTTGCAAAGAAACAGGCTAGAAAACCCCAAACAAATTTTAAATTTCACACATGGACCAATTTAAGGGAAACTTGGATCCAACTAATGTTGTAGCATATTTTGAGTAGACTATTTTGTTGTTGGATATCAATATTAGACTATTTTGTTGTTGGATATCAATAATGCTATAAAATGACAACTACTCTTTATAACATTTAAAGATGCATAACGTTTCCCAAAGCTTTCATCAAGAAGTATCACAAATTTTGGAAAATTCAAGAGACTAGTCATTACACAATTAGCAAATGTTTAGACGCTATTGAAGGACTCACAAGCTCTCTTAAAAACTAGACAAAATAAAATAAAAAACACAAACATAGTACTCACTTATAGTATGAGATGTTAAATGTTATAGATTTAGAACTTATAGTCACCCCAGCCGCACTAGCTCAAGGTCTTGAAAAAAAGACCATTTAGATACGCACTCACATTAGAGCAACCAAAAATATTGGCAAAAATGTTAGAATTAGCCAACAATTATATAAATGCTTAAGAAAATAATCATTTAGGGACTTCAAAAAATCACCATGAAATATTGACATCATCATTATCATAGACCTAATATATATCTAGGCAAATAAACCCACCAAAAATAAGAACTTTTTTATCAACCGACAGCCACATGAAAACAAAGTTAAAGATAGGAAATTGCCGGCTTAAGAGTGTCAGGCTAGAAATAAGTTGCCAATAGGCAAAAGATATCCCACTTATATTCCATTGCGAGTATCATACACAAAATTGAATGCAATTAAGAGTAAAGAATCTTCAATCAGCCACCTCCACTATCACGCAGCCCCTACTTGAGGCTTGTCGAAGTATTACACTTTTCACAAAGATCACAACCATGATCTGGACGATTTCTAATATAGGCAAAAGATATCCCACTTATAAGTTGCCAATAGGCAAAAGATATCCCACTTATATTCCATTGCGAGTATCATACACAAAATTGAATGCAATTAAGAGTAAAGAATCTTCAATCAGCCACCTCCACTATCACGCAGCCCCTACTTGAGGCTTGTCGAAGTATTACACTTTTCACAAAGATCACAACCATGATCTGGACGATTTCTAATATAGGCAAAAGATATCCCACTTATAAGTTGCCAATAGGCAAAAGATATCCCACTTATATTCCATTGCGAGTATCATACACAAAATTGAATGCAATTAAGAGTAAAGAATCTTCAATCAGCCACCTCCACTATCACGCAGCCCCTACTTGAGGCTTGTCGAAGTATTACACTTTTCACAAAGATCACAACCATGATCTGGACGATTTCTAATATAGGCAAAAGATATCCCACTTATAAGTTGCCAATAGGCAAAAGATATCCCACTTATATTCCATTGCGAGTATCATACACAAAATTGAATGCAATTAAGAGTAAAGAATCTTCAATCAGCCACCTCCACTATCACGCAGCCCCTACTTGAGGCTTGTCGAAGTATTACACTTTTCACAAAGATCACAACCATGATCTGGACGATTTCTAATATAGGCAAAAGATATCCCACTTATAAGTTGCCAATAGGCAAAAGATATCCCACTTATATTCCATTGCGAGTATCATACACAAAATTGAATGCAATTAAGAGTAAAGAATCTTCAATCAGCCACCTCCACTATCACGCAGCCCCTACTTGAGGCTTGTCGAAGTATTACACTTTTCACAAAGATCACAACCATGATCTGGACGATTTCTAATATAGGCAAAAGATATCCCACTTATAAGTTGCCAATAGGCAAAAGATATCCCACTTATATTCCATTGCGAGTATCATACACAAAATTGAATGCAATTAAGAGTAAAGAATCTTCAATCAGCCACCTCCACTATCACGCAGCCCCTACTTGAGGCTTGTCGAAGTATTACACTTTTCACAAAGATCACAACCATGATCCTGTGGAAAAACCAAAAAAAAAAAAAGACGGTGTATTTACTTCCGCGGCTATGAGCAATATTCTCTCATTTCCGAGATGGATTTGAGTCTCTTGATGATATGAGAATATTAGAAATTACTAATCTTTCACTTGATGAGCCTGAATTAGAAGCTATGATATTTATTGAAGATGATATAGAAGTTCAAAGACAAACCACTGAATAAGCTAATCATATCATTCTTTCTATTAAATAGTTGAAACTTCATGTGCTAGACAATTTATGTTTATGCTTTTGTTGTTGTACTAGACATGACATTTAATGCTTACTTTTATTTTGATATTATAAGCTACAAGGCTATAAATTATGTTGCTTTCATTTTTTTTTGTAATTTCAAATATTATGCTTTGATTGCTTTCTTAATTTTTATGTATAATTTATAAATTATAATGTTGTGTCCGCGCTGTACCCGTATCCTGTATTTTTTAGAATTGACGTGTCCCGTATTCGTATCGTGTCATATCCGTGTTACCGTATCCATATCGGTGCAACTTAGCTTGCCAGATGTATATTGAACTCACTAGATACTATTGGTAACTGCCAGTATTATGATAAACTTGTTGCAGTCATAAAAACTTGGCTTAAAAGACAAGAGTAAATTAAATTGTCGGTGATCAACTTCACCAAAAGTGTTGGCCTCAACTAAAAATTCATATTTTCAAATATTTGTTTGAAACAAGTCTTGATTTGCATAGCCTAAATGTATCAATTCTTGTAGCATCAAAATTATATCCTTGTTGCGGGCTAGAATATACATGGCGATGGAGTAAGAAAATTTTCGTCTCGGCGTTATACGGATATCCAGCACACAAACAGAAGATGAAATAACACGTGGATTTTTATGTGGAAAAATCCCTAAAAAGGGGGAAAAATCACGGGGCCTAGCCCAGTTTGAATGAATCAACTAGAATTTGCAGTTGATTATAAATGAGGGCCTTCCTTATGGGAAGGCCTTGACTTGATGTACATCATATGGAGTACATTACATGGTGGGAATACAAAGAGTCACTATTGACGTGTTCGTTTGGTCAGAAGAACCATAGTCTGATGATGGAGGTCATAAGGATTGTAGTTGGTGGGCGACGTAAGTCGGAAGAACCGTAGTCGGCAGATGACGGAGGTCATAAAGGCCATTGTCTAGCGACGAAGGTCAGAAAGACTATAGCCGGTGGGCGACGTAAGTCGGAAGAACCGTAGTCGGCGGGCGACGGAGGTCATAAAGACCATTATCTGGCTACGAAGGTTGGAATGACTGTTGTCGGTGGGCGACGTAAGTCGGAAGAATCGTAGTCGGCGGGCGACGAAGGTCATAAAAACTGTTGTCTGACGATGGAGGTCGGAAGGATTATTTTTGGTGGGCGACGTAAGTCGGAAGAACTGTAGTCGGCGGACGAAGTAGGTCATAAAGACCGTTGTCTGATGACGGATGTCGGAAGGACTATTGTCTGACGAAGTAGGTCATAAAGACCGTTGTCTGATGACGGATGTCGGGTCGGACAGATGGCATCAAGTAGAAGTCCAACAATGGACAGAAATCAAGCATCAGATAGATGTCCGGCGAAAGTCCGACAATGGGCAGAAGTCCGACGTTGGGTAGAAATCTGGCGACGAGCGGAGGTCCAACGTCGGGTAGAAGTCCGACATCAGTTGGCGGCCAAGAAGAACTCCGGCGTTAGATGGTATTCGGGCAAAATTCCAGAGTCACTTGGAGATCAGATAGAATTCCAGCATCACTTGGAGATCGGGTGGAGTTTTGGCGTCACTTGGAGATCGGGCAGAGTTTCGACATCACTTGGAAGTCGGGCGAAACTCCGGCGTCGCTTGAAAGTTGGGCGGAACTCCGACGTCACTTGAAAGTTGAGCGGAACTCTGGCGGTGGTCAATGAGGAGTTTCTTCACTCCTCTTCTTCTCTTTCTCCTCTTCTTCCTTCTTGCTTGCGGTCCTCTCTTAAGAGAAATGAGGGGCAATTTATAGTTTTATTAGGATGGCATGACCCGTAAATAGGAGGATCAAGGGCAGATGGGGAGTGGTTTGGATGGACGACCGATATTGAATCCCGTGATCGTGGATCGTTCGTCAGATATTTGAAGGTCTTAATGATATCGGAATTCGACGATCTTGGGCTCTTTGGATTCGTCTTGTCGAGTCGCTCGATTCGACTATAAGCATGTCATATTTGGAAACCGTTTGGTAATCCAAATTATGGATTGAACCGTCTGAATGTTCTTCGGGTCTTCGATTTGGACTCATTTTGGCTCAGATCGAGTTGAATTTGGTGTCGTTGGGTTCGTACTTTCGAGACGCTCAGTTCGACTGTAAGTTTACTGAAATCGGAGTTCAAATGGTCCCGGATTTAATTTTTGAAGTTTCCAACTTGATTTTTGCCTCGAGATTCGTGTCCGATCAAGACAATTTTTTGATGACATATCAATCCTTAAGCTATAAATAGAGGGCCAAGGGGCAAATCTGCCACACCTCCGCATTGGCATTCAAGTCTTATACTTCCCTTATAATAAAGCTCATAAACTTCCAATCCTATATTCACTTTCTCCCTTTACATTTCATTATGTTTGCCTTGTTATTCTTTCTTGTAAGATTTTGGAGATCCACGTACAAACTTGGAACCAACATCCTCAGAAGCAAAGAACTATGAACAACAAAGTAACAAAATAAGGACAACTTAGTAAACGTAAGGAACCAAAAATCTTGCACAGCAAAAAAAAACTTATATGGAAGAAAGAACTAAAATGATGATTTCATAAGTATTGAGGCAAATTCGTAAGCCACTCAACGATATAAATTCCAAAGGGATCCTCAAACTCGGTTATATGAAGGCAACATCACAGTTTGAGAGCATTAACCTCAACTCTAGCAATAGAAGAGACTTATCCAATAGCAATGAAGAATCTACTCCGCCTCGGCAAGTTGAAAAGTAAAAATCTCAACCAACAAAGGAATTTTGCAAAGAAACAGGTTAGAAAACCCCAAACAAAATTTAAATTTCACACATGGACCAATTTAAGGGAAGCTTGG